TGTACAACATTGGTTTCTGTGCCAAGCATTTTCATTTCAGAATTTTATTTTGGACCTCCCTATTCAGAGTATCTGATAATGTTATTTAAGCCACATTGACCTAATGCCTAGAGACATAATGTATTAGGAATCATTCTTAAGAAACAGCTATAGTCATTTTAAGTACTCGGTGGACACTTTGTCTGAATGATTGACTCAGAGATTCACTATATGTATCCCACATTGCAAGCCAGTAGGATAGTTTATTTTTTATTTTTCTCTATGCCCTTTGCTTCACTCTACTTATTTATAACACAAATACAGTAGTCAATACAAAACTCACATTATTACACAGATATTTTTAATAATCATTTATACTATCCCTTGATACATAGGGCCTTATTTACAAACAGTGCCACATAAGCTGCTTGAATATACAACAGATATGTCTAATGAAGCTTGTATGTGGGATGGACAAGTTAAATAGGGTCATGTTAAGGTTTTATCACAAGTAGAATATGCCTTTGCATAGGCAAAAAAATTTTTCTACCAAATTTTTGCTAATGCTCCTTTTTACAGGAGGGAAAATATATATGTGAATTTGAGTAGATGGTGGGTCCGTATTATTCACAGTAACATCTTTTCATTATGCTTGGTAGAACAAAACTGTTTTTCTGTACACAGCCTCTCCCTTGAGGAGAAAGGCCCCAAGGGGTGTGAGAATCTTTTTCCCTCCTCTTATTCCTTTAGGATATCTTATGATGAATAGATTTCCATGATAAAGCAGCAGCAGTAAGTCTCTTCACGTACTCGACAGCTCAAGTAGGGAAGCTGCTGGTCGTGGTGCACGGAGGAGGGGGCAGCGAGTTCTGAATTATGTTGGTGAAGATATTTTAGGTGTTTAAATTGAGGCTAAGTTTGCATTTTAATTTAGCTTAAAATATAACCTGTTCCCAATGATCACTGGTGTCATTTAAAAAACGCCCACACATCTGGTTTCAGTTCAGCTCTAAAATCCTAAATGAACCCAGAAATACAAGTCTGTTGCTACTGTAGTTACATACACATGCCCTTGTAGACTTCTTAGCCCAGAGGAATTTGGGCTCAGGATCAGAGATCAGATGTTTAGTCAAAGTTGTTTGAATTGGTTAAATGAAATTAAACAGGGAGTCTCAGAAATCTACTTGTACTGTACTGAATCCAAGTTTTAAATATTTCTAAAGCACAGGAAGTTGAAATACCCAGGTGCTGTGTTCTCCTTGACCTGTGTCAGTCTCATGGAGGGTAAGTCCTGTAAACTCCAGCCTAGTAAAGTTTATCATGGTTTTGCTCGAAGTAGACTTACCTTCTTAAAGACTGTACTAATTATTTTTCACATAAATCAAATCAGACTGATGTGGAAATGAATCATGTTGACATTATACACACAGTTTCAAGCCATTCTTTTTATTCTTTCTCTCACATGACTTTGAGATTTAGTTTAGATCTCAGTCAACAGCATTAGTTACATTGGCTGTCCCTGAATAGCTCTTGTTGTGAGGGATAGATGTTACTATCCAATATACTTGGAAAAATTATCCTAAAATAGATTTTAAAGTGATTTTTAATAGTTATAAAAAGTCTCATATTAATGGTGGGGAAAAGTGGATTTTTGCATTATAGACAATAGAGAAAAGTAAAAAATGTTAGCTCCTTTTACTGAACCTGCCAATAAAAATATCTTTCTAATAAGAAATGAAATTTTCTCAAATGATCTTTTCTCTTTATTGAAGGGAATAGAGCTTAGGGAGTGGAGAAATAAAATGAGATTTCTTGAGGCCTCACTTCACACTCCTTGGTGTGTGACAAAGGAGAATCCAGTGTAATGTTCTGCTTTAGTTTCTTATCTTGTATAAAACATCACCAGCTGCTTACTAGTACATACAGAGGAAGAATTTCTGTCTTTAGTACTCCATTATTTCTTCTGAGAACTGTGAAATAATAGTATATAAATATTACTTTCAAGCAGTACAAAAAGGCTTAATTTTTTCTCAACTATTAGATGCACTAAAATGTAGAAAATTTGCCTGTAATCTTCACAGTCTTATCTTTTGGTGAGATATTTGAATTAGTTATTTCTTTGGGATTTTGTTTCTAGAACCACTAAATGGTATTTTATCAACAACATGTTTCCAAAAACAGCCATCCAGTGGCAGGGGGTGTCTCTGCAAACCTGAAAAGGAATCTATCCAATCCTGTGGTGCCTGGGAGAGAGGGCTTCTTCATAAGGGCACAGGACACTCATTCGGGAATGCATTGCTCCACGGAAACAGACACCTCCTGGGCTCAGACATGTGGCTGAGTCTGGACTTTCTCACTTCGGAAATGTGCCCTGGGAGGTGTAAATTGACAGCTGACAGAAAGTGCATTAGATCTATCTTTGGATATTAGGTGTGGTAAAAGATAGCCTTCCCAAGATAGGTTTTACGATCTTTTTTTTAACGTGGCTAGTAAGGCTGCAGTTGTAGCCAGTGTAACAAAAGAGAAATAAGTGGTGTGATACTGAAAGTGTGAAGGCCGTTACATATGGATGTGATGCCCCTGGTCCTGCCAGCTTTGCTTCTGTCGGGAAACCTCCCCTGATTAACTGTTAGGCTATGTTAATGATTTTATGATTTGTTAGAGGGCTTTGGCTGGAAACAGTGAACAGGGGACTGATACTAAACTTCTTGTCTGCTTCTGTATAAAGATTAAATATAATTTGGCTCACTGGGATTGTGCACTGAATTAATTGGCTTTGGCTCTAAATGAATTAAGAGTCAAGGTTAAAGAACACATGTACACGTACCCACACATCCCGGTCACATCCTACTGACTGTGGGCCGAGTGTTGAGATTACCTTACACAGAGGTGAAGTCTTACAAAATCACAGACTTCAGAGTTGGAAGGGGCCTTTGAGACCAAACTGCCCATATTTTAAAATGAGAAAGTGAGAGTCGCAGTAACTGGCTTGTGTCGCAGAGGCAGACAGCGCCATGTAACACCTACGTCTCTTAGCTCCTACCCAACCTGCTTCCTGTTAGCGAAACCATCCAAAATATTACAATCAGCTGAAATTTCATCTATCTGATACTTATCTATATTGGCAAGTAACTTCTCTCATAACGTAAACATCCTAGGGAGCATCAATGCACTAGTTGCTAAGGCTTAGTGAGAGTTCATTTACTAAGACTGCCTTTCAGCGAATACCAGCTGAAACTAGCCTTCTGAATGAGCATTTTAGTGACGGTGGGATAAAGAATTGTGAGGAGGCCAGTAGGCCTTAGGAGATGAATGTACTGCGGAGATGGCTTGGGAATGCGTCTGACAGAAGGATTAAAGGCATGGACATGAGACACCCTGCAGACAGATTTGGGCAACTGCTGGTTTTAGCCTGGCGGGCCATCTTTACATGGATGAGTAACACACTTGTCTTACATTTACTGAATACTCAGAGGGAAGTCATCGCTTCTGTTCTGTGGTTATGGTTCATGTTCCTCCCTCCCCTCAATTCTATGTATTAGTGTGTTCTTACATTGAGTTTTTCAAATGTTTTGAAGTTGTTAAGAAAGAGCTAAAAATAAGTTAGTACTTGCATGGTGCTTTAAAAATGACGCCTATTCAGGATACCAAATTAAAATGGAATCTTAATAGAAGCCTTACTATCCTCACTAATTATCTTTTATTTTCGGGCATCTTGTGGAGTATTACGGGAATGCTGGTTTCGTTTTGTATGTTCACACAGTACGGAGAGTCATCTGCTGCAACGAAATTAGCAAAGTCAAGTTGTATGTTCCTTGGGGACCCATTTCAGAAGTCATTAGCTCAAGACAGATTGACAACACACCTCATACAGTTTTATGAATCTTGTCATGGGGAATCTGTTATTCAGAGTAGTCTGAATTCATAGGCCTCTTGTTTTAGGTCTATAAAGCTCATATGAATTTTAATCCTGCTGTTACTGGAGAAAATCTATTAAAATAGCCTGATCTTAGAATTTCTTAGTGGAATGAAGGTAATCTACAGTTACATAATATCTTACAGCTATAGACTTTACCATAAAGTATTCTGGCATCTGGAGATGCCAGAAACTTTTTAAAAAAGTATCCAGATTGATTAAATCTCTTCCTTTCTGTGATGCTGATTGTTAACACTTAGTTGTAAGTGTGGTAGAGAATCTTTACATTCTTCTTTTGAGATGAAAAGGACTTGGTTCTGGCAGGGTTCTTGCTGTTGTTATTAAATAAGTGACAGATGAAGTCAAACATGGCACTAACAGGAGAGTAAAGAGGCAGGAGAGGCGCGGATACGAGAACTCCCAGGAAGCGTTGGTGGTATGGTAGGAGGGCGGGGATGTATGGACACACTCAACTTTTGCAATTCTCCCTGCAGCCAACCCCAAATCACTTGGGAACCTGAGAAGCATCTGAGGGAGAGCCTGTGCTTCCAGTTTACAGCCTCCCTGGGGGTGGGGCAGTGAGAAAGGGAAGTTCCTACCCTCATTTTGTACATGGAGACCCTGAGCCAGGTCTGATAGCCCAAGGAGAGCCGGACTCACGCCCTAACTGGTGGAAGAGAAGCCAGTCTTCCGACTCCTCAGTAAATCAGACTCTTAAAAAAAAAAAAAGTTCACTCCTGCTATTTTGATTTGCTATAATTTTGATGTGTCACATACCCACAAACTGGTCATTCCTTCACAAATTGCCAGTTTCCCAACAAAGCAGTTGAACTTTTGATGAGCTTCTTTATAGACATGGAATATAAATAATTATTCTAGCTTATGGTTTAATTAACATAGCTTCAGCAAACTTTAATTGTGCCTGTTCATATTCTAGGTAGAACTTTCTATCATTGTTAATAAATATGAGAGTCCACAGCATCTCTATGAATTGCTGTCACCATACGGCTGGTGCAGTATTGAGGGGACAGTAGTCCAGATTAATGTCATGGCGATACTTAAGGCTTACAGTGAGTTAAATGAAACGTCTTGAGGTCATCATAGCTCAGTGTGGAGTTGTTTATTTACTTAATGGTGTTTACAGGCTTTCAAAACTTGACTGTCATTTACATGAAAGTTGGTACCCATATATATAAGACTATGAGAGAGAACCGACAAATCAATCTCAGTGGTAGTAAGGCACAACCTGAAGATGTACTGGATTTGCAGATTTTGAGAAGAGAAAGGGAAAATATTTTTTCCCCCAGTAGTAACAATAGAGAGCTGGCTGTTTAACAATGTAGCATGCTCCCTGTTTAATTGGTTACTGGTGTTATAGGTATAAAATGAAAGTGTTCTCAGCTTTGACAGCTCTTCTGTCATTGTCCTTCAGGAGAATGTTTCTTCCAAGTGTGATTCTTGGACCCCTTCAGGTGGCTTATGAGTTAGATTAATGCTTATATAATTAGTGCTTATATACTTAATTTTTGTGCCTGGCATGAGCTAGAACTTTACACATGTGGTTGGTAACTTAGATATAAGTTCATTGATGTTTCATTTTCATGTATGTTTGATAAGCATATTTTGGTGTTAAGAAAATGAGGACAAGTGGCGTGCAGGGTATCACTGCTTCTACAGACGTGCAACAACTGCTGGCCCATGCGGGCATCTGCCAGAGGGGGAATAAACACTTGTCTAGTGTTGGCTTGGAAGGGAATGGCTTTCCCACACCCAAAGTGATACTTTTGATGTAGGAGAAACTGAGGGAGTGGAGGGAAAGGTAAGCATGTATACAATCCTTTTTTGTGGGAATGCTTAGTGCCTAGTGTGTAGTAAGAAATGCTTCCTCCCTAAGTGATGTTTTGGTACAGCTACCACTGGGAAGAAACTGGGCAAGAGAATGGAGGAGAAGCAGAGAGGGAGAATAAGCGTTTTCCTGAAAAGTGAGCGATACTGCGTATGTGTGCAAAATTCAGATTCCACTTCATTTTCATGGAGATACAGTTCATCTGTGAAACCAAGTTCAGAACTTCCACTGTAACACTCCAGTGTGGACCTCAGCACCCCACGTCTCCTCAATTCTTTCGCTCATTGCCACCCCGAGGATAAATCCTGTTTCAGTCTGCAGCTTGTAGCTCTACAAATTACGCTATGTATATCTCAGCAAACCTGTGTTTCCAGGCACACTGGGATCCATGACTGCGGGACGAGTCAACTCAGGGCAGCACTGGAAGGAAGGGGAGCGCATCAGGGCCTCTCTAGGGCCCCTGGGGGGCCTGCCATTCCAGTGACCCTCTGTTTCTGCAAGTAGAAACTGCAGTTTAGTGACCTGCATGATTGAAACTGTTAGAAGGTTTTGGCCCAAGATGTCTTGACACTTAAAAGTGCCCACAAGTGGATATATTTCTATGCTGTGATGTATCACTGCAGCTTAACATTTTTGTTTTTAAATGATCAGCTAATTTAATTAGTGGAAATTTTCAAAGTAATTAATAATTCAAATCTTGAGTTTCCAATGCATTAGGAAACCTCACATTCATTTACTTTTAGGAGGAGGGTTTTCTTAAGGCATGAGGTATATTAACAGGATGTGCGAATGTGTGGACCTGGACAGGTGCATCATTACCCTCAAAGCACAGTGAATGTCTCATTCACAGGACTAGCTGCACATTTTCGTTGAACTACCGTAACCAGTCACCATTTCCCGATCGTCCTTGAATCAGTGCAACCACGAGCACCTGCACAGCTGCAATGACATTTCCGTGGCTGTGGCTCTCCTTTCCCAGTAAAGAATGTCTTTCCTCATGTACAACAGCCCCTTTATTTCTTTTCCCTTTCCCCTCAAGCGGTCCAGGTCCCCATCAAGAAGGGAAGGGAACATCTATGGCCCAACTACGAAACGCGGAAGCAGCTAATCCCGCCTGCACGGACGCGGAGCGCACAGTCTCAGGGAGTAGGGCACGTGTACATCGACCATGCATAGAAACTATACAGCCGCGTGTGGGCCTTGCATTTCTCGCTCATCTTTATGGTATTTTCTTCGTTTGAAAGACTAGGACGAACCCATGCTCAAAACCTTTTTCTAGCATTGTGAAAATACAGCTTTGTATGTGGCACTTCAAAACAAGTTGGCACAACATGAAAAGTGACGTTCGGTCTCCGGCCGTGCAGGAGCCGTCCCCTGCCCTCCCGCCGCGGGCTCGGGGCCGCGGCGGAGGGGTCCGGGGTGCCGGCGGGCTCAGGGCCCAGGCGCGCCCTTCCGGGCGGCGTGCTCGTGGTGGCCGGCCCCGGGGGCAGCGGCCGCCTCCGCGGGGAGGCCCTGCTGCTGGTAGCCGTAGTTGACGTTTCCGCACGGGAAGTGCCGCAGCCGGAACAGAGGGACGTCGGCCGCGCGGGCGGTCAGCGAGGACGGCTCCAGGAGCAGAGCGGCCCCCGGCGGGCGGCCCGCCGCGGCGTTCGCGGGCCCGCCGCAGCCCCGCCCCCGGCCCGCGGCGCCCCCCACGCGCCGCCGCTCCTCCGCGGGAGGGTTGTCTTTGGCGGGGTTCTCGGTGAACCACGAGCCGTAGGTGGGGTTCCACAGGCTCGTCGGCTTGTTCCTGGCCCCCTGGGCCCTGTGCAGCTCCGGCGGCGCGTGGGCCTGGGAGAACGCCATGTTGACGTGGCCCCGCTCGGCGGCTGGCCCTCCGGGGACGCGCGCCGCCGCCGCCGCCGCCGCGGGCTTCTTGCCCGCCTTGCCCGCCGCGGAGGGCAGCGGGGCCGCGGCGGCTGGCTCCTGGCCCTCCGCCCGCGCGGCCGGCGGGGCCGAGGCCAGGAGGGGCGGCATGCCCTCGGGGTCTTTGGGCCTCACGGGCACCTTGTCCTCCTCTTCCACAGGCGGGCCATATTCTATGGGCAAAGCCGTGTTGATCACGTCGGGATCCTACAGGTGGGGGAAATGAACTGATTAGGACGTTGACTACCGACCAAAAATCTTGGATCCGGAAGCTACCTTAGTGACAGCCTCATCCAAATTTACTTTCCAGATGAGGAAACCATTCCGTGTTTATCAGAAACACTGATGCCTATTAATCTGTAGGCACTGGGGAATAAGAAACGAGTGAGACGTTCTCCCCATCCTTCACGAGCTCAGCTGGTAAGCAGTGTGTACAGGGTGTTGGGCAGCAGCCACCTGCCTGGGGCGGGGGAGCAGGGTCAGGAAAGGCTTTGCAGAGACCACTTTTGGCAAATCTCAGAGATTTAAAAAATGGAATTTAAAAAAATTATGAATTAGTTAAAAAAATTACTCTGGTCTATTCTCAATAAAATCCAATTAAAAAGAAAATGAGTGAGTGAGTGTGTGTGTGTGTGTGTGTGTGTGTGTGTGTGTGCGCGCGCGCATAGGGGACAAGGGAAGGAGAGGAGAGAGAGACACACACACCGCCTTGGCCTACAAGGCTTATCTCCTCTTCTCTTCCTAGCTACCTCCCACTGCCTCACATTTGGGTGGGTTACACTTGATTATAATTTTTTCTGTGTTATATCATTACATTGCACGTCACAATGCCGTGGTTCTTCAACTAGCCGGGATCTCACGAGGACTTTGTGAGGCCCAGGAAACACTAACAATGATGTGAGGAAAACCATTTACCAAACTGACTTTGTGTTGGATTATTTTTACAGCAGTAGATTGTAATATAGAAAAGCAGAACTGGTTGCCAGAGGCTGGAGGAAAATTTGTGGAAGGAAACTTAAACTTGGGGACTTTAAATTCTTTAATATTTTATGCAACTTGGGAAAACCATTACTTCAGCTGAACAGAAAAGCACAGTGGTCCAGTATTCATCAATAGTTTAAGAATAAAAACATAACTACCTTCTGATTCTCTTTTATTCTTTAGTTTCCTTCCCTGTTAATTATTAATTTCTATAGTGAGTCATTTGAAATATGCTTGTGTAGAACTACCAGCTTTTAAGAGGGATATTATATACTTCGGAGAAAATTACTCCAAAGTTTTTATATTTCAGTGGATATATTCCTCCAGTATTATAACATAATAGCCTAAAAGGTCAATGAACATCCAGTTCCCTGAAAGAACCCCAAACTTGTAAATGAAGTCTGTCTAGATAAATGCCAGTCCACCTTCTGAGCTGAAAGGACCTGAGAGGCTGGGACTGGGAGGCCAGGAAATGACTGTAGTTTGAAAATGTGTCTGTCTGTCGTCACGACTAAGATGAGGGAATTTGGAGAGGTAGAGGTGTTTTGTCTGACTTCTAAAATACTCTCCATAATCAGATGTCCTGGCAGAATGAGAGCCAGGGGAGAGGAGAGGAGAGCAGGTGCAGTGGGGAGGACGGGGCGTGACGGGGGAGCCCGAGGGGCAGCTGAGGTGCAGGTGGCTCAGCCTGGTGGGGAGGACGGACCCTGCCTCCGTGGTGGGGAGGAAGGCGGTGGGCATGGGCGTGGATGCAAGGACGGGGAGGAAACAGGATTCTCACTGGACAGCCCCTCCACTCCAGAGGAGGAAAGAGGCATAGTAGTTTCTGAAAGTGGGGTAGAAAAAGGAAAATGTAGTCTTTACAGAGGGAAAAGGGAGAGGGATCCACACAGGGATCAGCAGGATGGCTAGGACAGCCTCGCTCCAAGCCTCAACTCCTCATCTGGAAAATGGGGATATTTTATGAACCTCAGTGAGGATAAAATGAAATATGTGAGAAGTGGTTTGTGTATTACAGATTCTGTACTAATGTGACTGATGATGTCCACGTCTCCCAGGGAACTTGGACCTTTCCTTCCTTTAATCGCTCTAACATGTACCTTTGGACATATAATCTAACAACTACATACATTGCTACAATTCGTTCCCATTATTGTTTCTCTATCCAGGCTAGACACTATTTGAGAGCAGATGTTTTCCATACTTCTTTGATGCTCTGGTTTTGTCTAGTAAGGCACTGGGTACCCAGTAAGGGTTTAGGTAATACTTGTGAATTGAACTGATTCCCTAATACGATTGAGTGTTTTGCACTGTATCATGTGCTGGTGAAGAAAGTGGAAGTTACCAGTATTTATTTACAAAATTTATTACAAAGTGAGATACCAATCAGTTTACTGTACAGATAATCATTCTCATGATCATAACATATTTTCTGGCTTGTTAACTTGTATTTCACATTTTGGTATTTGCCATCTTTAAGACTTCCTTATAAATGCTGGTCAAGGGGGAAAAATGTTTATACCTGGGTGCAGTATTCAATCCTCTCCAAAATTATGGCAAAGTTGGGCCTGTCTTCAGGCTGATGTTGCCAACACTGGGTCATTATCCGGTATCTAAAAGAAGAACAAGCACATTCAGTGAAATCAGGAGAAACAATTAAAATCAATTAAACCCTCAACAAGACATGTTCCCCCATCACTTTTCTAAATGGGATCAGGGGTGGCATGTCACAGAGGGGGCAGCTCATCAAGTCCCATGTGGTTGGGTGTATGCTGCCCTCTGTCGATGGGTCACTGCGGGTGCCCAGGTGGGAAGGTGTAATACCAAAGCTCATACACACACATCCTGGTGTTTACATTAATCCGGCTCCTCTCTCGCTGCATTCCTGAGTTACAGTCACCTCTGAAGCACAGTATTCTAATTGTATTTCCCATCTGCCCTCCTTGTGGGAAGGAGGTGAGGGATGCCAGATAGGACAGCCGCAAACGCAGGGAATGGAAGGATTTAAAGGAAACTCAAGGCATACAGTGTAGGGCAGCAGGGTTGGAGTCCTGGACCCAGTTCCTAGCAGCTGCTTGAGGACTGTGAGGCTAGTGAGCCCACAGCCTCTAGGCAGCGAACGGATGCCTTTTCAGCCACGACATTATTGCTTTCGAGGGGCCCAAGACTAACCCATCTCTTTGAATTCTCAGACACATCCCTATCTTGGGGCATATTGAATGAAGCTGGCCTTCTGCCCCTTCATCTTTAAACAAAAAAGCATATGTGACTGAAGATATTTTCTGAAAAGGAGAACAGTGCTTAGTAACTTGTAGAAATATTCCTGAAAGAGTCATACACAGGCCCAGGGCAGTTCTTAGGTGGGTCCATCCGTCCTCCACTGGTGACAAACTCCAGAACTTCCTGGTTGCTTTTGCTGGGGTACGGCATATATCCGAGAGAGAATATCTCCCACAGGAGCACTCCAAACGACCTGCGCACAGGACAGAAGGTATGGATATGCACATGCATACACATGCGTGTGCACGCATGGGCATGTACACAGATACAGGGATACAGACACAGACGTGAAACTTAAAAAATGTTTAATTACACATTTTTCCACAGTAGATGATTCTTAATATGGAAAAAAATAAAAGAATGAGAGAGTAGCCCTATGCAATGCTCCACAGAAGGGTGACCGTTGTTAGCATACTTTTTTTGTCCCAGTCAAGTTTCTGTGTTTAGATTTTTTTTTTACATAACTGCAGTTACATTTAATGTGCAATTTTGAACCTTGATTTTTTTTGTTGCAAATTCCATTAGAGCATCAACATTTTCCATGCTAATGCATTTCATAAATAGAATTTGAAATGGCTATAAAACATTCCATGGAGTAGTTGTGCCATAATTTGCCTTATATGTTCCATACTGCTTTCAATTTTTAAAATAGTTAAGATGCTGTGATGAAAATTTTTGTGCACTTTTTCAAAGGTCAATTTCCTTAGATAAATATCCCAAATTTGTAAGTAGGGTAATCTGATAAAATCTAGGATAATTCTAATGGAATTACTAGATCAAAGGATATGAACACCAAAAACTTCTTGGCACATAGTGTCCACTGTTGACTTATGCAACTGATCATCAATAAGCATTTTATGCAAGAATGCCCCAGACACTTCACCAACACTGAGTATTCTTACCAAAATGAGAAATCTCGCTGATGGTAAGGTAAGAAAAAAATGGAAGAATCTTTTAAATTGTTTATTGACTTAATAATTAACATGGTTGAATGTTTCCTTAAGTATTTATTAACTCACTTTCATTTTTTTTCTCCTATGAATTGTTATCTTTTGCCCATTTTAATTCACATATTGGTTTGGTATATATCCATTTTTTTGATTTGTAGACATAGTTTAGGTATTAGAGATTTTAACCTTCTATCCAAAATTCAAATACTTCTACTTTTTAGCATACCAAAGACTTTATTTTTAGGAAGTCAAAAAAATTCTTTTTTTAATTTTGTGATTTTCTCCATCTATTGTATTGATTGTACCATCTTCCCTTCACCAAAGATTAGACGAATAATTGCTATTTTCTTCTAGTTGTATTTGTTTTTTTTCTCTCTTCTCAAATCTGGTTGGAATTTGGTTTGGCATACACTGTGAGGTAAGGATCTAAACTAAATTGTTTTTCCAAACAACCACTTTTTTAACGTTGTTCATAAAATCATTTCCCCCTTACCTATTGACTTGTGAGTAAAAATAAGAATTTCTGGGCTACCCACTTCATCTGTTAGTCTGCCTCTTGTATTGCTAATATTCTGTTTTACTTCTTGTGTATTTGTTTTACTATCTGGTAGGGCATTTTTAAATTTCTCTTTTTACAGAAATGTACTTGATTGCTCATTTGTTATTTGTTTTAAATTAACTTTAAAATGATATTTATTGTGCTCCAAAAACCTCTTCTTTGATATTTTGACTAAACTTTTAATTTTATAATTACCTTTTTGACCAAAAAAAGGCCTATTTTTGTTTTTGTATCTGGTTGTAGTTTTCTGATGTTAATAAATATTATCTCAAATGTTATAAAGAACAATAACTCCTCCATTCACTAAGGAACACAGAGTACTTTTACTAACATCATCTCGGTGAAACTTTAGTCTTGTGAGGAAGTTTGGGCAAAGACAGTTTCCAAACTCATCAGGTGAGAAGGCTGAAGCAGACGTTATAATACAACTAACCGGAGACAGACCAGAATACATTATTAGATCTCTTGATTCTGCTACCTACAAATTGCCCATACATACATTGTTTCTCTCTGTTTGGTGGTCTGTCTTCCTTCAAAGCAAAAATAAAATAAGCAAAGTCATGCAAGAAATTGGCAGCAAATTGCAGCTGTATGTTGCCTGCTTTCTAGATAGATAGATAGATGATAGATGATAGATAGGCAGATAGATAGATAGATAGATAGATAGATAGATGATAGATATAGAAAGATAGATATGTAGATAGATAGATGATAGATAGGTAGATAGATGATAGATATATAGATGATAAGCAGATAGGTAGATAGGTGATAGATTGCAGTGTCTTTTGAGAAAACCACATATAGACTGCAAAGAGATGTATTTTCTTGTTTTGGAGTTCAAGGGAGCAAGAAATAGTGTCAGTCATGGAACTCTGGTAATACAAGGTAAGCAGGGTTGTCAGATTTTATCAAATAACCATACAGGACACCAGTCAAACATGAATTCCAGATAGACAAGAAATACTTTACAAAATTTTAAGTATATCCTAAATACTGCATGGTACAGACTTATACTCAAAATTTATCTGTTCATCTGAAATTCAGTTATAACTATTTTGTATTTTATCTAGGAACCCAAAAGACAAACCTACGTTATATATGCCAGATGAATCACCTATAGGCCAGGCCCATCCTAAATAGGAGCAACCCTATATCGCTAAGGCAGATTTATATTTTGTGTACAGAAATCCCCCTGCCTTTCAAACGTTTGCATTAAGCCACTTTGCTTTCACAAAAGACATACCTTAGTACCTGTTTTTGTGAACTGAAAGAAATTTGAAGAGGATTTTTGACTTTATAAAGAAGGCAGAAAGTGGCTATCATGTTCTGTGTGGGTTTCGCGGGAAGCCTTACAGAGGCAGTTACACCTACGGAGCGGAAGACCCCAGCGGCAGCCCGCAGGCTCCTTCCCTGGGAACCACTCAGCATCTCCGCACCAAGGCACCAGCACTTTGAAGCGTGTCTGTGGGCGTTTGTGCTTTATATGGATTTGTTTCAAGGATCCACTAGCAATATGTGTCTTAAGGTATCAGAAAAGCCTAAGGGAGTTATTTTTTGGGGTCTGGGAATGCTAAAAGTTTTTCCCTATAAGTTAATGGTAATTGCTTCTTCACTTTATGCCATTTCAGCTTAGGAAAGGTTTCATAGGAATGCTGTGCTTTCAGATAGGGGAAGACCTGTACCAGATGGTTCTTTAATCACCCATAAGCCTGTCTTAAGTAGGGGTAACAGGCCCAAGGCTTTGCACCAAAGCATTCAAAATCAAATAAAAGCGAGTATTTTTAAAAATCCCACTCTGTTTCTGTTGATATTAAACTTACTCTGCCTGAAATGATGGAAATAGGTTAAATGATTGCTGATAAAATTATTTAAAAATTTGAGTCAATGAAGATAAGCTGACAAAAAGGTTTTAAAATCATGAATTATGCTGTGCTTATCAGCCTTTTAAAGTTAAATGCTATTTTCCTTTATTCATTACCAGAAGATGGAAGATTGCCCCCAGGTGTGGTAGAGGGTGGGCTATACTTTTAAGAAAAATGGGAACCAAAAGTCGCCATATTGTATCAAATATCCAGCCAGCTGATTCATTGTCTGCCTTTCTGAGCTACAAATTCATGTATCAGAAGGCCAGGGAACCTCTCCACTGGCCTATCTTAATAGGCAACTCAGACTTGACAGGCCCCCCACCTTTCCTGCCAGTGAGGTACCACCGTTTGTCCATCCACTCACGCTGCAAACCTCTGAGTCCCTAATCTCACTCTTTTCACCTCCCACCCCACACCCAGCCTTCTGCAGCCCAGCTAACTACTCTCCAGACAGAGCTTGGATCTGGCTACTTTTAATGGCCTCCACTGCTGCCACTAAGTCTCGTTCCTCTTCTAGAAATGTTCAGTATTTTCCTAATTTGTTTCCCAACTTGGCCTGCCCACGCCAGTCCATTTTCATGGCAGTGGGCACAGGGTTCTTTTTTTTTTTTAAGACCACACTTACTCTCGGGCTTCCAACTCCTGCAGAGCATCTCAAAAGCACACTCCAGATAAAGCCCACATCCCCTAGCCTGGGTCCTAACACCGTTCCTGTTCCGCCCAGCTTGCCCTTCCATCTCAACTACCAGGGCCCCCAGGGCTCACCTGCTCCAGCCCTGAGGACCTGTTCCTGCCACTGGCCTTTTACATGTGACTTTGCCTCAGCTGGAAAAGTGTTGAAACATCGCTTCCTCCATGGAGTCTTCCCCCCTTCTCTTTACTAAGTCAGCTCCCCTCCTCTGACACCTGCACTTCAATCTTCTGCTTTGTCATCTGTGTAGCACTTACCAGTGTCTGAAGTTTTTATTTGTTTCTTTAAACATTTTAACTGAAATAATCGAAACTGTAAAAAAGCAAAGTAGTTCAATGGATGCCTGTGCATCCACACGCTAAGAGTTTTTGTTCATTTGGGGCAGTGCTCCTCCTTCTGAAGAAACAACATACATACAGGTACGCCCACCTTCCAGCCTTTTCTTCTCTCTTCTCCTCCACTGAAGTCAGGACGTAGCCTCCCCATGTATGTTATCACATTTTTACAATGTGTGAAAGCATAAACAATGAAGAATCTACATTATAGACATAATCTTTGTGTTGTGAATTTATACCTAAATGATATCCTACTCCTTTTTGGAAATTGCTTTTATTCTACTAAACATTGCTTTGAGATTTATCCATGTTGATGCATATAGGTTAGTGTATTTTTAAAAATACTGCTGAATAGTTTTCCATGATATACATAAACCACAGTTTATCTTGAGGGATAGGTTGTTTTTGCTTTTTTTTTTTTTTCTATTGTAAACAACTTTGCAAATGAACATCCTCGCCCAGGTCTGTCTGTGCCCACCTCTCTCTAATGTGGACACTTAGAACCGCTGGGTCACAGGACATGTGTGTCCAGAGCAATTATTTAGCTGTGACTGGATGGGGTGTGCTGGCAGTGCACACGGAATCACCTGGAGGACTCCTTCAAACCCAGAGGGCTGCACTCCCCCTAGAGTTTCTGTTGACTTAGGCCTGAGGTGGAGCTGGGAGTTTGTGTTTCTAACAAGGTCCCAGGTGCCACTGCTGCTGATCTGAGGCCCACATGTTGAGATCCACTGGGCAGGGGTAAGTTAAATCTCAGGGGCTTAAATTACCCACGGCTCTTGCTCACGCCCTCACACGTGGGTCAGGAAGGGGACCCTGATCATCGTGGCCTCACCGTCTTAGGGTGTTACCTCAGTGCAAGGCTTTCATAATTTGGAGGACTTTGGTCCATT